ACTGCTTTACTGTCCTGCTGGAGTGAAGCGTGAGGTTTGATGTTGGTAAACCAAACTCTTCCACTTGTACCAAATACACACAGAAAAGTAAGAAAAACTTCAACGCAGCACTCCAACGGACTCATGAAAATATTAATTAGGGCTGTCACTTTGGTAGTACAGTGGGCCATTATAAAAATAATCAAGTTAAAACTGGAAGACTCATTTTGTCAGCTGTTGAACACTAAAGAATTGTCTGAAAACCTCTTGATACTGTCACCTTACAGTATATCCGTTTGCTGTCCCGTTTGCTACAGCAATTATTCCAATAATAGCCATAATGTTTTGTCAGCAGTCAATCATTTTAGCACTGTATCACTGAATCTTTGGCATATCCAAAACAGCCTTGTAACACTCATGTAGTGTCAGTCTCATTGAAAAAAAGCTGGGTCACCAGAAAAAGTTACTCAAATTATGCTCCAAGTTAAAACCTTATGTTAACACTTACGAGACTGCCTAGATCGTATCGCCACACACTTTATCAGCGTAGTGTGGCAGCAGCACAGTTCCAATGCAAGATCTACTTTGGCAAAAAATCAGTGGTTATCTTTGAGCTTTCACATTTTCATGGTTTAGTATTTCATATAATCTTGATGATCTTACTTGTTGAAGCCACAGGAATGTTGGGAAAATTAGTGGTGCTGGTAGTGCTAGCCTCAGTAGGAGCTAACATGGCTGGGGTGCTATAAGGCTCTGTAGATGCCCTGTTACTTGGTGGATGCTGGATGGTTTGGACTGAATGGCCTTCAGCAGAAGACAATGACGGCTGCCCCTCGTAGTCATGAACGTATTCGTCTTTCACCAACATGCTTGATGGAGCTGTGAAGACGCAAATGGTTAAACATGCAAAGCAAATCTGTTTTCAGGATTTAACTACAAACTGCAGTACTACTTTCAAGCAATAACAATGCTATTAAAACTACTGGAGGATTTAACCTATATAAACATTGTTAAAGCACTCCCCTAAATTAAAATAAACACTTCAAGTCGGCAGTAGGATATTTTGAAGCATAACTGGATTGAAAAGCAAGCTATTTTGCTTACTGCTACCAAACAAGCAGTTTAGTCCCACAGTTGTAGACTCCAATAGCATTTTGCTTTCTATTCCATCATTGTTTGATTGGATATGGTTAATAAAAGGGAAAAAACATGCTTTTTGTCAAGCACCTAAATATATGTTAACGCAGTAGCTAACAAACCAATTCCTAGTATATAAGTAAAAACATACATAAAGCTCCTATGAAAAATGAAATTCATGAACACAGCACAAAAAACTTCATGCATCCCTTAAGTAATTTTAAGCAACTTCCATCCAAATTGACTAGAAACATGAAATTCACATTCAAAGACAATATAACACTACTCTATATTTAACAATGTAGCCACTAATTCAGAATATTCCACATACAGTGTAAGGAAATTACTACCATCACCACAAGAATTTATTTCTATATATCCTACTGAGCATGTTCAAGTAAAACTCTTAAACTACATTAGCTCCCGTGCTCATTTTTAAAGCAGCCTTAAATATACTAAAATCTGACAGTAATTTTCTGTTTCCTGCTGCAAAAACAGTAGCACGACAAGGAAACACTTATGTATTTCTTATATGTATAGCTTATATATTTCTTATGTATAGCTTACTGCTGGCTAGTAAGCTTTGATTCTGCACAAAAGGATCATTTTTCAGAAGACACAGGTAACAATGCAAATTAGCAGAGATGAGCACACAAGTTAAAGCTTGTGAAGTGAACAGTTTGTTGGGTTGTTTAGGTTTTTTTAAGTCATTTTTGCTTGAATACTTCTAATAATGTGCTAAAAACATTGGATTACCCAAATTCCCTTCTCCATGAATTTCTTCTGGAAGGAAAAAAAAAAAATCAGTTTTGAAATAAAGCAGTTACCAGCTGCACAATCTCAGATTTCTGAATAATGTTCATTGGACATTTAATGTCCAATTTCTCTCAAGTTTCAGGGAGAGCAAGAATATTAGACTGCTTCATTCAATTGCACATTAATTACAGAATTTCTATTATTTTCTTGTTAAACTACTTATTAAATCATAAGCTTCTGTTATTCCCAATTCAATTAATTAGTGTATCATACAGCTGCACACGTTTTTGGATGTTTGGTTTTTTTTTTTAGTTAGCAGCATTCAACAGTGAGAGTTTTGGTTTTCTTTTTTTGGGGGTTTATAAGTTGCAGGCAATGAAAACAGAACATACCTACGAGCTGAGCCGAAGCCTTAATTTAAAGAATTCATCAATACTTGCCTTTCATATGCTACTTAGCTGGTTCTCCAAAACCGGAGAGACAAATGCATTTCCATCTGCTCTCCGTACTCCCGCCCAAGGAGATACACAGGCATAAACTGTGTACATACTGAAGAGTTTAACACAGTTTGTGCCCATAGAAATGCAATAGTAAACAGAACTACTTACCAGAACTCTGTAGTGTCAGTCCTGAGAGATCTTTAAAAAGAAGAAAAAGAAAAGGGGGTGTGGACGATTATATACACACAGATCTTCAACAACGTTTGAACATAAAGTTTATAAGCCTTTACAAATTAGTACTACAGACTCTAGATATTATACCCCCTCCATCACAACACAAGTGTCAATGCTAAGTTATTCCTAGGATACACGTTAACTGTGAGAACTGTGTGCAAAGCCAACAGAAAGGCTTAAACAAAAGCCACAAACTGTTCTTTCAAATTTGGAATAAAGGTAAAAGAATAATTCCATTAAGAAGATGGACAAGAGCATGAGAGTAATTTATAATTAGATCATTAAAAGTTAATGGTTCTAATTCAGGCTTGTATTTTCTACACTCAAAAGGAAAACATTTTACATTTTATTCCCACTGTTCCATTTTAAATCAAGAGTCTACTTACCGATGCCAGGCGATACTACACGCTCATAATGGTAAGGATTTACACAGACACTGTCACATTTTAAGTCAAAAGCATACTGACAATATTTAACATGCTTGAGTTCATTTTTATGAAGATCAGGCCACCTCCAAAGACGAGCGTAAATCACATGAGGGAATCCCTTGCGACCAGCCACCTAAAAAGTTAGACACAAAAGTTGATTGGGAAAGTAGCAAGACATTTCACCTTACTTAGTGAGGAGCAAAGCTGGAAGAGGACAAACAACAACACAACCTCTCTCCATCATCAAAATATGAAAAAAAAGGTGGTGTACAGTTTACCCAAGTTCTGTACTCAACAGAAATAAATTTCTATTAGGGTTTTGCTACGGTTAAGTCAACACTGTGATTCTTAAGAAAAAATACTGGATACAAAATGGCAGAAGCAGAATTTGTGCTTAATGTAGTATGTATGGTCACCTTCCCCACCATGGATGATGAAGGAGCTTTGCCCCAGAAGAAGAGGAACAAGGCACTAAGCTACACTATAAGGAATTTACAAGTAGAAGAATGCCAATCCATTTTACTGGGAAAAAAAAAGAAAAAAATGCTTCTAGGGTAGACAGAAAGCTAGCCAGCAAACATGACATCTGTCCTGGAACAAGGAAATCGCAACCCAAGCTATACAGGTACTGAGTACTGACGATATAAGGCCAACATAAATCCTCAGTGCAGACTCCTTGGAGTACCTTAGCAAGGGATCATAGGTCTTTCTTCACACTGCTGACCAACACAGAGCTAACAGAAGCTTGTAGTGAAAATACCAGGATAAACAGCCGAATTTGTTACGTGACCCTGCTTTTCACTGCCACACACACACTCGTTTAGAATGGCTGATCCAACGCCTTCTGCTCCTTTTGGAAAAAAAAAATAAATCAACTACTGCAGCAGTCCAGAGCTCCAGCCACAAAGCATGCCTACAAATAGGGGCGAGGGGGGATGCAAGAGAAGAGCTACTCTTCCTCAACACTCTAGGATCCTGCGTCACTCACTTTTGCTCCAGCTTCACTAGGAGGAAAACATCTGATTTTCACTTGTACTAACCTGAAGCCTCCCATCCAGCGTTCTCTGTATTGTAACACACTTGCTAGGATGAGCTCCATTTGTGGTTATAGCTGTAATCAAAGAATCCAATTCATCTTTTTTCTCCTTTAGCTTTTTAACTAAACTTTCAATTGCGCGTTTTGCAAAAGTTTCACTCTCTCCACCTTGTCGATGGCACATCAAGCTGTGAACAATGCTCAGACAAGCATCATTACTTGTTGGCGTGTTAGTAATAGACATATTGTCCATTTGTCACAGCTTTTTCTTTCAGATCAAATGTCAGTTTTGGGGGCTGTTATGATTTTCAAGCTGATGAACAAGAGATGATCCAAGTTAAGTGTTAGATGTACTGTCTCTTGGTAAAACCTAGGAGGAAAAAATATCTACATTAGAATTGTTTTTAACAAATTGCAGATCATGTTTCTAAGGAAGTCTGTGGCTTTTTGCTTCTTTTATTTTCAAGCTAAGTGCAGAATATTAAAAGCACATCAAAAAACTGCATTGCTTGTCCCATGATAGCAAAAACATGCTTAAGACACTGCTTGCACAGTTTTAGATATAAGATTTTTTTTTTTCCCCTAGTAACAATATTTAAATAAAGATTATAGTTTATATACATGTACACATAGTATGTACATATAGAAAGGTAGGGATTATTAGATGAACAGGCTCTGAATCAGGAAAAGGAGAACAGTGACAATGATTTCCTATGTTTTATACTGGTAGGATGAAACCAAGTGAAAATACTGACTGGGAATCAAGGGGCATTGATTTAAACAAAATTTGAATCGTGAAGAAGCATGAATGCACACCAGAATCATCTGTCATCTTTATTTAATAATCCTGTTCAAATAGTTCTGACCTCAGACTAACTCTATCTCTCTTTGCTAATCAGAAAGGCAAAAATTGTACCTGGCCATTAGCTTAATACACATTTATGTAAATTAGTATTGTGTATATCTTTATATATGAAAATCCCAATTGGCACATTGGTCTTTACTTGTTTGGATCCAGCTTCTCCTGGAAGAAGACAAATCAACTGAAGTCACTAAAAAAGTACTTCTGAATTGTCTCAAACAGAACTGCTTTAATCATACTAAACTTAAGGAATAGGTCTGTCCTAACACATTTGGCCTTTAAACTCCATTTGTTAAGAACCTGCAGTGGTTTCTGGTAATGAAGTCATTCTTCTCAAAGCCAGCAGACCTCATCCTTCTGAAGCTTCCTTTAATTCACAAATTAGAAGAAGAGCTGGCCTGATTTTCTCAATTCTGAATGAGCTAATTACTACACTTTATCTTGCTTTATCCAGAAACAGGGGACAGCAGGTTTTGTGCACTCACAGAAAAGGAGTCTAATGTTGTCAAAAAGCTGCTCTGGTTCTTCAAGCACCTCTGGCTTCAGGTAGTCATCCACTAACACCATTCTACCAACTATGTGGTCTGACTTTCTTAAGACACTGGCAGCAAATACACCTAAGTGATTTCACTACATTTACATTTTCTTAGTAAGCTTAAAATGCAAGTCTTTCTGAAGCTAACATGTTATTCTCAGCAATGTAAATAAAATGTATTTGATTTCAACAGTTAAGGAAAAAAGTTTGTTCACATTATCTGAGGAACACAGCCAGTCAAAGACCTGTTACTGCACTGGAATTTGCCATGTTATTAGAGGTACAGTAGTAGCAGCTATTTATTGGAAACAAACGCATTGCACAAAAATAAGAGTGGGATGTTATTTTAGAAAGTTAACGCATCACACAAATTACAGTGTGAATGCATGGCGACCCTTCTTGTAAAAGGAATATTGTAACACAAATCCAGCACAATTATAAAAGGAAACAAAGTCTTCCCTATTTAATATTTTCTCCAATTTCAACTTGAATACAGCATGCTTTGGTATACTTGGAAAAAACACATCACAAATCCTTCCTCCCCACCCCCATTTTCAATAATTTTCTTCCTTTGTCAGGATGCTTCTGGATGTAATTTCTCCCAAAGGAAAACAATTACCTAAAAGTTTGAGTAAGATCATTTTACCTAACTACTGAAGTTTCTCCCTCAATGCTAGGTTTTTTTGTGCTTCAACTCAATAAGCCTCTTTTAAAAGTCAAGCTTAACCTGCCAGTCATTCTCCATGGCAACTCCCACTCGCATAAATCCATAAAAGCTTGCCAGCTAAAACAGAACAGAACATCATTTTCCTTAAATATAAAACAGCATCCCAGATAGATATGCATAAGTAATCATAAATAAGTGACTTGATAAAGCTATTAGCCAAAAGAGCTTTAAATAAAGAGATGCTTAAAATTAGACATCCAGCTCTGTCTTTTACGTCCCTAAAACTATGAATGAGAATTTTGCTTGCTGACTTTCAGAAGACTAAAATCAAGCAAATAAATCCTTATTTAAGTGGAATGATCTTCAGAAATGTTGAGTCACCCCTCAGCTGTCACTGCGCTCAATAGGAGCTTCTGACTGTTCAGCACTTTTGAAAGCCGGGCCACTTGTTTAGGATTTTGAATACTGTTACACACTGCTGGTGCGTAATTGCATGGTAATTCAGGAGCCTTTCTTTAGAAGTCCCCTCTACAGAAATCCTCTATTTAATCTCGCAATTTCAATCCCCAGAAAAGGGGGTGAGGTCAGTGGCCACCAACCTGGCACATATTGATAAATGCTGTGACATATTTCTTCTGAAGCACCAGAAGCATTAGTATATTTTGCAGACAAGCCAAGTTTTTACGTTCCACAAATTTAGTTTCTCACGAAATAGCTCTACAAGCCTATCTTTGCCTGAGTCACACATTCAAGAGGTGCCTTACCACCTTCTTACTACATTACTTTCATGTGTGCAAATAAAAGCAAAATGCAATCTTAACGCATTATATTTTTAGAAGATAGCCTTTGAAGATAAGGTTCCAGCATGCCCTCAGACATGGGGTGCTAGATGTTCTGCAAAACAACAGTACGCTTGTGTGATTTAACATTTATTTGATGTGAGCATGAAACTTCAAATTCGTTCCTTAGTAGGACCCCCGCCCAAGAAGGTGATCCCACACTAGAGCTCAAGCTTAGATGTACAGTGGAATAGGTAGGGCCAAATGTATTGAGCAAAGATCTTCTTACTTCACTCTACCCAGGAATATCATGGAAACAGCAATGGGCGAGAGTGCGCTTTGGGGGAAAAGGGGCAGAGAGAAGAGACAGGGAACACGAGAAAAGCAGCAGCAGGAGACAGCGCTTGCAGTGAAGCTCTCAGCTTCACCTACCGAGGCCGACCAAGGAACAAAAAGGTATTTCTCTCCCTTTTGCTATAGTGTGATGCGAGCAGAACACAGAAGGAAAAAAAAAAGCGACAAGCTAACATAAATGCTAACAAGTTACAAAGTTACGGAGAAGTACCTCATTATGTTATAGAAAGTAATTTATTTCAACAACTAAGTATTAACAGGTATGTTACAAAACATGTGAACAACTAGTGTTCTGCGATAGTCTAAGTATTGTAACAAGAATAAGATCCTCTGAAGAGGAGACAAATCTGAAAGACAAAAGAAGTCAAGATCACCAGCTAATTAAAAACACCTTTAATGATCTGTAGCAAACACGCTACTATCTCAGCGAACGGGTAAGTAACCATTAACTGAAACTCTTCCTCCAAGACTGATGCAGACTTGAACAAATACCATAATTCTTCTGCACATCCTGCTCCCCCACGGCTGCTTCACTGAAGGGTGATGTATCTTTTTAGCCTGTGCAATGAAATTCAAAACATGAAGCAGCTGTCTAAAATTAAAAATGCAACACTGGTGCCACATGCCTCATTTTCATGTCTGTGGATAATTCTGCCAGAAATGGTTACCTGAACAATATAAATAGATTCTAAAAACATAGGCACCTATAATAGTATGCTATCTCATATAACTAAAATCAAATATCTTATTGACTTATCTACGTGGAAGTAACATTACTGAGCTCTTACACTAGTGCCCTCATTGCACTTACATTTATCTTATGGGCAGGAAAGCAAAGTAAGCACTGTACTGACTCAAACTATTCCACTGTTCTCAGATCAACTGCCACATTCTCTCCCTCAAAACAGCAATCTTTTTACTAGCATGACTAGAAAACAGAGACCAGGTTTAATGTTCAGCATCTTCTGCAAAAGCTATGAAAACCCAGTGCTAGCTCAGAGCTCCAGGAAAGAATTCCCGTTTGTGGAAGCAAGGTGCTCCTGGTCAACTAGAGAAAACTGAGCAAAGTACAAAAAGCAGATGAGATCACACCCAAAGGGATAATCAATGCATTTATGGAACAGAAAATTAATGTTCCGCCTTGTTTGCCAGTATCTCTTCAGCTGCACCAGCAAGATAATATTATAAGCTAAGACTGCTTAAGAACGAGTGTTTTTACATGCCAAAAACCAAGGGTAACAAAACCAGCATGAGCCACGACTTCCAAATATTTGCAGCAACTCTTCAGGCAGCATACTAGCTATTTAAGAGATACGATCATTTGGAAGGCCCAAGAGTTGCTGAGGTATATTGCAGTTTGAAATTCTTCATCAAAAAAGCATGCAGACACATACAGATGTAGGCAGACACACGCACGGTCTGAGGAAGGTGCAACGGTTTTTCTGCTTTTCATGGTTAGAAAAAACACATGGACTTGATTTCCTTGCTTTTACAGAGGTTTTACTACAGTCATACAGAAGCCCAACTGAGATGTAAGGGCAGAGGCTGGTAAAAAAAAGATTTCACCTAAACCCCCATCAATGTGCCCTAGCCATTCAGCCAAGCAATTTTTGAAACTTCTCCGAAAAAACTCTTTCTCCAAACAATTCCCATTTCCAATTCTCTAATGCGGTTGAAATTTCCTGAGAAGTTACAAATCCAGATTTCTTAAAAAGAACTCACATTCTTTTCTACATATTAAGAACAATCTTAAATGAGTCCTTTTTACACTCACAAGTCACTTATCTTCCCCCTCTCCTCCCACAAAAGCCACACTTTACGATTTGGGGAGAACGATCAACCCTAAACAAGAAAAGGAAATAATACGCTTACACAGACAAACCAGGCGGTTATGGATGGAGCTGGAAGTCAGGGATGTAACCCAAAGGAATATGATCCAGGCAATCAGTAATTCAACAACTTGGGCAAGACGGTTAATCCAAGCCCGACGCTGATACGATACACTACCCTATTCATTTACAGTAGGGTTTAAGCCAATCGCAGCTGCGGAGGGATC